AAGAATAGGAATAGGGAGAAAACAATATATAAAAGGATCTAGGGCATAGGTTCACCAATAAATAATACTCCAGGGTAAAACATAGTAACCAATCATTGACATTGCATAAATAACATGATTAACAGGCTCTCGCAATTTATTAATCAACATAGATCTAACAGGATCTCGCAATTTACTAGATCTAAGTTCTTATTGAAAATAGCCTTTAATATCAAATTAACATCTGCTCGATTCATCAATTTAATATTGCTATACTTTTACAAGCCGCAATTGTAAAACATTTAAACAATCCAATAAGAAATTATCATGCAATACCAATAATCAATAATAGTCAATCATCAATGCATCAATTAACCAGATTGTAAAGGGCTCTCGCTACTTATTACAATCACACAATTGACTTAACCATTTATAAAATAACTTGCCTATTGAAATTAGACCTAAACATTAATTCTCATCTCTCGATTCTTGAATCAATATTGTCAAACTCATGCATAAAAGATAGGCCTAATCTAGTCACAGAGCATTAAATCAATCAATAGGAAATTAATCTAACATTGATAATCAACAACAATAATTTACCTCTTCATATTATTTATGGATCCCCATAAACCCTAGAAATTAAACTACTCACACATATCAAAAACTAAACTAATCAAGGTAATAGAACAAGACATGATCAAGGGAAGAGATTAAATAAAGGGTGGAATTAAACCAAGAGTTGTAGAGAGAGAAATAAGAGAGAAAGTAATACTAAAAATTTAATTAAGAGGAGAGAGAAAGAAAAGTTAGAGGGAGAAAGAGAAAAAGAAAACTAAACTAAACTAATACTAATAAAAGAATTAAAACTAAGCTAATAACACCTAAGAAATTTGCCTCCCCTAAAAAGCTACGTACTCCACCTTTTATAAGGATTTAAGAATCTTATCTTAATTATAAGCTTAGGAAAAACTAATCCTAACCAAAATAAAACTCTTAACAAAACCCAAAGGAGCTAAATAAAAAGCTGCGGAAAATTACATCTGAAGGTTGCCAAAATAATTGGGCCTTTAACCATGAAGCCCACTGACGAAGCTGGCAAATCAATTTGCGGCAACAAGCATGCCCGATCGGGCCCACTAGAAATCACGCCCAACAGTACTTGGTTCTTCGTTTGGGCCAGAAAATTTGGGCTGAAATTTTCTTCTTCTTCTTAATTTATCTTGGACTTGCAACAAAATTAGTACTCCAAACAAACCGAGCCCTTAATCACCGAACCAAATTAATTAGCTCGACCTTGGGCTTTAAATACTCGTCATAAGGTACGATCATTTCTAATATTTTCATAGTGGCTCAATAAGCTCAGGAATTGACATTAATCTGCAAATTCCTACAAAATAATACCAACTCTACAAAAACACTAGAAAACATATATTAGTAATAAAAATAGCTCCGCAGAGCTCAAATAAGCACAAATATGACCGTGAGACGGGGAATAAAAATATATATAAAATAGACTCATCAAACACCAAGGTAGGCAGTCTTGAAAGGGCCATTTTGGTGCGTTCATGGCAGAGATGACGCCCCCACCGCATACGTGCACCGATCTCTTGACTTGCTCTTTGCGTTCCTTCAAACTTGAAGTTCCAAAAGGCGAACATGAGGCATCCAAATTGATGAGAAATATGAGAGGAAGGCTCGGGAATCCTTGGAAACACCATCATAACCTAAAAACAAACGAAAACAAACAAATAAAAGGGAAAAAGAACAAATAAACAAAGAAATGCACAAAATAAGGAAACTAACTATGGAAAGCACAAACTAACGAAATAAAGAACAAAACTAAGGAAAAACTAAGGAAAAGGGCTATAAAATAGCATGAAAATCATCCTAAAGGAAGCCAAATGAGTGCCATAAATGGCACTCATCAGTGCCTAGGGTTTGCAAGTAAGTTGAATTCAGTTGATCGGTAAGATTAAAACCCGAATTAGCAAACACGAGACCTAGCCCTCTCAAACTCTTCTCTCTCTCACGGCTCTCTCCTCCTCCCTTGCACGGTTGTGGTGGTTCGTGGTGGTGATGGTTCGTGGTGGTCGGCTTAGTCCATTAAAGGTGATGATCGCGGTTTTCTTCAATCACTCGACCAATCTAGTATTGGTGGACGGCTCGTTCGAAGCTCGTGGACTAAGTAGAGGAGCAACGCTTGGGGATCTATTCTATCCCTTATTTGTTAATCAAATTGCTACGTGGAATTCACGCTTCAAAGGTATGATTATTTGTGTTGTGTGTTATGCATGTGATCTTGGGATTCGGTACTTTTATGAATATGATTCATGATTTTCCGCTGCGTAGTACCTTTAAACTCTTACAGTGGTATCATTTAGCCTCTTGCATGAACGCGCTTGATCATATTAATACGATTAATTTGAAGTCCATGTTAATTTTATAATCAATTAAGAGGGAGAAATTAATTTAATTATGGTTCAATTATTATATTTAATGTGATTAAACTTTTGGAATTGATTAAATATGATTTAATTATGCTCAAAATAGCCATGAAGAGGACCGAACCAAGCCCCCGTTTTCGAAATTTTTGATCCCTAGAACCCTAGATTCGGATTTTCGAAAACCCTAACCCTAATTTTGAATTATTTCGAAAATCCTAGCCTTAAAATATGATTTTTGTGATTGATTTTTGATTTAATTCGATTTGTTTTATGTTTCATAATTTTAATCGGATTGAATTATGCATGAAATTTTTTTGCGTATGATCATCGATTTAATTTTAAGAGTTAAAATTAAATTAAGATTAATTTTATGATGAACCCTAATTTTAAAATTGAATGTTGATTTAATTTTAATTTTTGGACTGATTTGATTTAATTTTAATAAAAGTTATTTTAATTAAATTGAAAACCCCAAAAAAAAAAAATAGTTTTGGTGGTCGGCAATCGCGGCTGGGTGGCGCAGCCACGGCGGCTGCCGACCAGGTGGCATTCCAAGAGGGATGGGAAGGGAGGGCGGCGGTTCAGGGTGGCTGGGGCAGCAGTTGTGCAAGCGTTTGCACGCTGCTGCCGTGGCTGCCACTACTGCTGGTTGCTGCTGTCTTGCGGCAGTGGCTGCTGCAAAGCAGCCAGCCACCGTGGCTAGCTCCGGCTAGCCAACCACGGTGGGCAGCAACCGTGTAGTCACGATTTTTTAAAAAAAAAAACTATTTTGAAAAATATTTCAAGATAAATAAAATCGGTTTTATTTGGATAAAATCTCTTATTTTGGGATAAAATCAAATCTTGAAAGTTGTTATATTTGATATTATCCATATTTAAAGTTGTTAAATTGGTAATTATCCATAATTAAAGTGGTTAATTTTGGATAAGATCGATTAGGATATTCTGAGCATATTCCAAAAGGATAATAATTGATTTAAATAATGTGATTATCTCATAATTAGATTAGGATATAATTGATTTTAAAAAATTATTTGATTGATTAATAATTAGGATAGAATCTCCTAAATTTGTTAGCATAATCATGAAAGATTAAATATGATTATCTTTCTAGATTAAAATAAGATTTGATTCTATCTCATACCTAAATTAAAATATATGATATTTTTTGATTGGTCATGAATAATATACGATATTATCTAATTATGATTAAAATATGAAATATTTTAGGAAATGCATTGCCTTGATTATGAACATTCGATGTTGTAGTTTAGACAAACATGTTGAGTGATTTATTATATGGCACTTTTATAATATATGATATTATGTTGCTATATATAGACTAGTGTGGCCCATAGATTCTAAAATACGATCTGCGCATCATGATGTATTTTTGGAATATAAATACGGTCTGCTTGCCGTTAAGTATTTTGTAACTTTTATTTAAAGTAAATAGATTAGTTATTGGAAAAATTGACGAAAATAATCCCAACTTTCGCCGATTCACTCAAAATAATCCCCACTTTGGATTATTTTTTAATAATCCGAACTTTGAAGGGTATTCGCTCAAATGATCCCAAGTGACCGGTAACCTATTAAAGAGGTAATATATTCTTTTTTTTAATTTAAGTAACACTTGTCATCACGTGATTCGTTGAAAAAAATATATAAAAATTAAAATAAAAAATAAAGAATAAAAATTAAAAATAAAAATTAAAAACTAAAAACTAAAAAATAAAAAACAAAAAACAAAAAATCAGCCCCAACCCACGACAACCCCCACCACCACCGGCAGCCTTCTCCTGCCACCTAACCCAGGTACCTTATCCGCCCCAAAACGCTGCTCTCAGCGTCCCCTCCCCCGCGCCGGTGCCGGCTCTACCACCTCCCTTACCCCCTAACACTACAAGAAAAAGGGTAATTAGCGACGGCCAAAGTAGTCGCAAATCCGTTGCAAAAATGGATTTGCGACAGATTTGCAACTACTTTGGTTCGTTGCCAAAGACCTCGTCGCAAATCCATTTTTGTGACTAATTTTTGAACAGTCGCAAATTTAGCGACAGATTTGCAACGCCTTTGCAACTACCATTTAGCGACTAACTTTCAAATTTTAGCAACTAAATTATTGTCCGTCGTAATATATTTGCGACGGATTAGCAACTACAGAGATCACTGTTTTAAGACTACTTTTGCGACGAATTAGCGACTGCAAGACCAAATTTTTGCGACTACGAGACTAAACTTTTGCGACTACGGAGACTAGTTTTATTGTGACGGATTTGCGACTATTGAGACTAATGTTTTTTGCGACGGATTAGCAACTACATACGAGACCAAATTTTTGCGACTACAAAACTAATTATTTGTGACAGATTAGCGACTACTGAGACTAATGATTTTGCAACTAACCAATTAGTCTCTAAACCAAATTTGCAATCGCTAAATATTTGCGACTAACTATCAATATTTGAGACCATAATTAAGCGACGACCAATGTTAATCACAAAACAAAAAAGGTACCCACGCATAAATTCACATAACCAAAATGTTAATTTTATTCAAATATCCAAAATATCAATCAAATTTTGTATCAATGTATTAAAAAACAATATTTAACTCATATGACTAATTGTTCCAAAAGTCACCTCCCATATAAAAAAAGCTACTTCAAACAAGAATTAATGAGAATGTAAAAGACCAGTTGTTCATAAAATTACCACTAAGAAAATAAAAATCACTTAGTTGTATCACGAGAGCGGGTGACCGCAGGCGTAGGAGGCTTATAAGGACGGTAAACTTGTTTTACAAGTGATGCCATTTCCTGCAATGTTTTTTGCATAGCTAATTTTTCCTTCTTCCATGTAGCTTTTTCGATCTCATGATTTTCGACGAATTCCTTAGCACATTTTAAGCTCTCTGCCGCTATTTTTTGGCTTTCTTCTACCTTGTTATGGTTTTCTTCCGCCATCTTCTTTAGTTCTTCAACTTGAGAACTTAATTGAGAAATCATGGAAGGAGTGGAAGATGATGCAGTAGATTAAGAAGTAGGATCACTCTTGTAATACATATGTGAAGCACTCCCTAAACCGTAGACTTTTCCTTTCTTTTGCCCACCTACAACCTCCAAGTAGACTTTGTCGGGGTTTATCTCAATTCCTTTGTTCTTATATTCCTCAAGTTTTTCCATATATTCTCCCTGCATTAAGATATGTATTAGTAACTATGATCTCAAATGTTAAAACTTAAATAAACTAAGTCGGTCCCCAGCTTTTTTGTCAAATTCTCTCCTAGCCTTAGCATCGAACTCAGGTCTCCAAATATATGTACGCTGCACATAATTAACAAGTAAAGTAAATTATTTTAACTCAAAATAGCATATTATACATTAATAATTTTATTTCTGATTTATTTAACATAAAGCAGCCCAACTTCAGATTGTTAAATCTAACTTCAGACTGTTTTATCTAGGCATGATGTCCGGCAATTACACTACCATTGACAATTAAAACGTCTCCGGAGGAGGATCTGTCTCCGGATCTGTTCCAGTTAAATTTCTTTCCCTTTCAAGTGATCAATTCCTTTACTTTTGACATAATATTACGAATTCCTTCAATGTCACATTTTCTTCTTAGATTGTTGTTGATTTTGTATCATCTTTGTTATTTTCAGGCAGTTGGAGATTCTGGTCATGTGTCGGTTAAATTTGCTGGTAAAGCTCTTCACCTGCGTTCCGTTTTGCAAATTTTAATCTGATGTCCGAATTATTACCAAATTGTTAACTGTCTTTTATTATTCTTATGGCTGATGTCAGATTCAAATAAAAGTCCCAACAAATTGAGTAACCCAAGGACAAAACCTTCTGCCTCTTGGCTCCAATTACAGTACTAACTTGTAACCTTATTCATTAATATGAGATTGGGTATGTGCTCACAATTTGCTACCTAGTTTGCTATTAGGCTAAAAAAATTTCCACTTTCATGTTATTCACTCACCTTTTTTGATTTGCAATCCTTAGGGGGAATTTCATTGAGATTAATAAATACTTTTGAGCTATTAGGAACCAATATTCATCTTTTTGTTGACTGCATTGTGTTGTAATTACATCTTCCTTTGGTTGAGTGCATAGTGAGGTTTTGTATTTGTGCTTCTATAGTTTTATTGGAGATTTCAACTACTGTCAACTCAGATTTTACGACTCTTAAAGCATTTCCAAGGATATAAGATTTGAATTTCATGGTAATTTACAAGGTTAAAACTTTTGAAGGTTTATACTGTATCATCTCATGAATCCTTCTCTTTAATATTTAAATCCCTATGCGCTGCTTTAAACCCTCATAGAGCTTTGACTTCACGAGGCAAATTTATATTACTCAACGATTCTATCTATAATATGTATCAAAGCAGATTTTATTTCATGTTACAAGATGGATAATTTTTCAAAAGGGCTTATAAATTATTTGCCTATTTATTTCATTAGTACTCACTAAAAACAATTAAAAGAATACCCTGAACATAAAAGTTTTATGACCAACTTCTTGATTGCCATATCATTAGTAAACTTTTGTATGTAATGACCGTTAAATCATGAGCTAAAGCTAAGAATACAAATACCTAAACAATTTGATTATAAGAATCTAATACTCAGGCCATGATAAACTATAAGGAAATCAACCAACACAATAACTAGAAATTGTGGCCGCAAATTGCAAGTTCAAGTGGGTCTATATCAATCCCAATAATATAAAAAATCATTCAACAATAATTCAAGTTACAAACATAGAAAATAACGCATATAAACAAAATAATAAATCAACATAAACTTGATAAATATCAACAATTATTTAATCACTAACCGACCAAATAACATACACAAAAGTAAATTAATTTATTTTCAAGTACACGAAAAATCAGAGCTGATCAGAAACTTACTAGAAGTCATGCACCAGCTCGATCAAGATCAATTAGCCTCTTGAGATCAATTTGACATTTCACATCCTGAAAATGAGAATTTACAAATTATAGTAATGAAATAATTGAAAGAACCTCATTCAAAAGATAGATATAAAACTCCCAAAAGACTACCATACGATGACTAGCATTATGATATCACTCCTGATAGAAAATTAATCAAACTCTCACACTTGATGATGTGATTGGATCTGGATTTTAAGTTCCACACATTACTTCTAATCTAAGCAATCAAGAAATTATCCTAATTCAATCTTGAATAAAACATTAAAGGTTTGAATGCCAACTCCAAACACTTGAATATAATTCACTTACAATTTTTTTATTTTATTATTGTATCAATTCTCTAGCCCTTGAATGAAATTATACATTTATTTATACTAATGATAAAATCGTGGGCTTATTAACTAGCAAAACAGTTAAACAAGTGATAAAAAAAACAAGAGCATAACACAAAGTTACTCAATAAGGCAAGTAATTAAGTCAGGGAGTCAATTTAGAATCAAGTGACTACTTATTCAATTCATGCCTTAAATTCTACATCATATTATCAATTTAACACTACTACGAGAAAAAAATATAACTTTATATGACACAACAACCATCGAATAATGATGCCACTCGCACAAAGTTTATGAGCAGCTCAATTAAGGGATCAATAATTCAATTAAGCCATGCAAGGAAAAAAAAAGAACTAATTAAACATAACAGCAGTTCTGAACAAGAGAAACGTGACTTAAATAAGGTAAAACTCAGTACATACAAAAGGATACATAAAAGTAAAGACAATAGAAGAAGGTAGGATAAAGATTCCCAGTAAATTCTTTTCTTTTCGGCAAGAATCTTATAAATTGGGGAAGTTGCCACCAAGTATTCAACCAAAGATTCCAAACATATGACTAAACAATAAATCTAGTAAACCTTAATTCCAATGCTCCTCACCAGGCAGTCTTAGTTTTTTGTCCTACATTGTATATGCCAAAATGGCAAGCGTCCAAAATAAAATAAACTCCAAACTATTTCATTTTAAGAACAATTTTATGAGCATATATTGTCAACCAAAAAAATAATCACACATCAACGATACAATAATATGAAAAAAGAACCCTCATACAACCCCTGATGCTTCGCTACCTGCATCTTTGCTCGAGGGTCCATATATTTGTATATGTTTACCAGATTGTCCATATGAGGAACATGGCAAATTTTTGCGAAACGAGAAAGAAGACATGTAATTAAAATACAGTCATATTTCAATACTTAGAGACACCAAAAACAGAATGATACTCAATACATTAGCAGCCTCCAGGCTTATACCAAAAACATCCAATAACACAATAAGATTAATTTGGTGAAAATCATTTTGATTGACAATGAAATAAATGTAATTCAAATAAATCAAGTGTAATTTGATTGAATTGCTGAAATTCGATAGAAATAATAGCCTAAAAAAATCGATTGAATAATTTGCCCTAAAATTATAACTTTGAAGTTTCTTTTAATCTACCTAAATTTCGAATCAAAATACTGAAATTCGATGAATATATGATTGAATTATAACTACAATTTTTTGTTTAATTCGAATAATAAATATATACTGCAATTATATTAACAAACTCGATACCAAATTCCTAGAAAAAAGGAATAATTCGAAACTCACCTAGTTAGTCAGTGGTGGCGCAACGGTACAGTAGTGCAGTGGTGCTCCGGTTGGTGCGGCGGTGTGCTGGTGTGCCGATGAATACGGGCGTACGTCAGTGGGCGCGGTGGTGGTTTCGGCGGTGCAAAGATTGACGGTTCTTTCAGAGTAAATGAGGTGAAAGTGAAAATTAGTGTATAACACTAATTTTCACTTTCACCTCATTTACTCTGAGAGAACCGTCAATCTTTGCATATATATATATATATTTTGAAAGAAGCGTGGGATATATTTCTCTTTATGAATAGATTAATTTGAGGTTAAACTAATAATGTCTAAAAAAAACTCTAGAGGTAACCGATTTGTGTTGCATTTGCGGTTGTGACAACTTTCCACAAGCTAGGGAACGTCATCTTGCTGTTGTGATGTTCACTCGTCTCTGAACAATAGAGATTTTTTGGGTATGTTCACGCGTCTCTGAACAAAGAGCTTTTTGTAACTAATGTTTGTAAGCTAGTTGCAAACGCTTTGGTCAAAGTTTCTTTGACTTAATATTTGTAACTGACATTTGTAAGCTAGTTACAAACTTATTAGTCAAAGTTTATTTGACTAAATATTTGTAACTAACATTTATTTAGTTAGTTACTCATAAAACTTCAAACAATGATAAACCACATATTTAGTAACTGACATTTACTACGCTAGTTACTAATGTCATGAAATTTGTAACTGACATTATCTTAGTCGGTTACTATTGATGCTTTCGTAACTAGCATAACATACCCCAGTTACTAATAGGGCGTTACAAATAACATTTTTTCTACTAGTGATACTTGTATATATTTTACAAAGTGGATTGCTAAACATCGCCCGCAAATCTCCACATAAAGCCCACAAATCTATATTGAATTTACCTTATTTCCCTAAACCTAAAATAAAAAAATCTAACCCATACCCACACTCTAATCACCCGAAAATACGGCAATGTTGAGGCGGCAAGACAAGGACTTGGCGGCCACAGCGGCGGAGGGAAGGACGGCTAACGGTGGCAGGGTTTTTTTTTTAAAAAAAAAATTAAAAAAAAAAACCAGAAGAGGTGGGGCGCCTGGCCAGGACGCCCAGCCCCTGGTGGTGGCGTCTGCTCCGGCCGCCGGAACCAGGGGGCTGGCGTCTGACCTGGACGCCTAGCCACGGTTGTCGCATTTTCCAGAGGCGCCACCGCCGTGGCTGGGCGTCCAGGTCAGACGCTAGCCCCCTGGTCCCGGCGGCCGGAGCTGTCGCCACCACCAGGGGCTGGGCGTCCTGGCCAGGCGCCCTACCACTTTTTTTTTTTTTTTTTTGTCTAATATTTTTTTTTTGGAAAATCAGAATTCTTTTGTTAATGTTTAATATTTTTGTTTTATGTGTTAATGTTTTTATTTCTAATGTATATATTTTTTTTAAATCAGAATTTTTTGTGTTAATGTTTAATTTTTTGTGTTAATGTTTAATTAAAAAAAAAACAAAAACTTTAAATAAAATTTTAAAAAAATTACAAAAAGTTTAAATAAAATTACAAAAAAAAAAGAAAAAATAAAAAAATAAATAACAAATTACAAAAAAAAAAAAAAAAAAAAAATTTACAAAAAGTAGGGGTGGCGTCTGGCCAGGACGCCACAGCCATGGTGGCGGCGTCTGGCCAGGACGCCACAGCCATGGTGGCGGCGTCTGGCCAGGACGCCACAGCCATGGTGGCGGCGTCTGGAGGAGCCAGGGGCGGCGTCTGGCCAGGACGCCACAGCCATGGTGGCGGCGTCCTGACCAGACGCCACCCCTACTTTTCGTAATTTTTCCCCCGGATTATCTCGCTTTCCGGCGACGATGACGACTCTTCGGTGTCCCTCGGCGATCCACTCCAGCTCCACATTCTTCGTGAGAGTGAATTACGGTTTCGGTAAAAATTAGAAAAAGGACAAAAGAGTCAAAGTAAAAATATTTGTGGGCTTTATGTGGAGATTTGCGGGCGACGTTTAACAGATCCCACAACAAATAATAGTTAAAAAAAGGGGTCGAAATAACTAGAAATGGGATTTTTACATTGAAAATCATTAGGGATTTTTGCATACTCAATCAATTTTGATTGATTTTTAATTAATTGACTTCAATTAGACCATGGAAACCAAATTAAAATCAATAATTGGACCCAAGAAAAAATCAATGATAACCCTAAAATTCATAGTCGACAAATTACAATAAGCGAAAGGGTGGAAGGCATTTAAACTTACCTGGGAAGAGACGTGGTGGCGCAGCGGAGCTAAGGAAGATGAAGAACGACGGTGAGGGGTTGAGGGTTGATTCTCTAAAATTAACCCTTCTGCGAGTATCGAGTGATTAATTCTTTTATTTTTCTTTTATTTGTTTTGTTTCACAAGTTAAATGATTAAGGATTTTTTTTATTTTTTTTAGGAAGAGTATGATAGTTCTTGTTTTTGATAAGAGTAAGACTGATTGATAATTCTTGTTTTTTTTGCGGCAATAACCTTTTTTTTTTCGTTTTTTTAGGAATAAGGGTTTTTTTTTTATTTTTTTTATTATACCAAGGGTTTTTTTTAATTTCTTTTTAATAAATATTAAAAATAATAGTAGCGACTACCTTGTTAGTTGCAAATTATTACAAGAGCGTCGCAGATTAGCGACCGCATAGCAACTATTATAAATTCGGTTGCAAATTTTGTGACTACTCGTCTTTTTCTGTCGCAAAAAATATTTTTTGCAATTGATTATTATAGTAGTCGCAAAAATCAGTCGCTAATTAACGACCGCATAGCAACTACTGCAAATTCGGTTGCAAAATTTGCGACTACTCGTCTTTTTTAGTCGCTAAAATTATTTTTGCAACTAATTATTATGGTAGTCGCAAAATTCCGTTGCTAATTCACCTTTTTCTTGTAGTGTAAATTCCCAAAACCCAAAACCCCAAACCACCATTATCAACAACCCCAAACACTTAAAAATGCTCAGCCCCACTGCAAAACACCACAATCGGCCCTCCCCCACCCTCGAAACTCTGGGAGCTAGGGTTCCGAGGGTGGGAGAAGTGGTATTTGGGCGTTTAATGTGGTGGAGGAGGGAGTTTTAGAGATTTCGCTTGTTGGGGACTTGGGGGTTGGTGTTTTCGGGGGAATGGGGGCAGGGGAGGGTAGTGCCGGCGGGGAAGAGATATGGAAGATCGAGGGTGGCTGCCGTTCTAGTCTGTGCCGGTAGGAATAGTGCTGCCAGTCGTGGGTTGTTGGTAGTGGCTGGGGAGGGTGGTTCGTGGGTGGGAATTGGGAAATCTGCTTTGTTTTTTTTTTAATTTAATTTATTTTTTCAACCAATGACGTGGTGACACGTGTCACCTAACCTGTTATAGCAAGTTAGGTAACCGGTTGGGATCATTTTGAGCGAATACCCCCCAAAGTTCGGATTATTTAAAAATAATCCAAAGTTGGGATTATTTTGAGCGAATCGGCGAAAGTTGGGATTATTTTTGTCAATTTTCCTTATTTATTTAAATAGTGTTAGTCCATAGAAACCCATGAAGTGAAGGCCCAAAGGAGCAAGGTGGATGAAGATCCATGATGATTCAAATGGGAGCTTTTCATTTCTAGTTTTCTTAGGACTAAGGGGTCATACTATGTCATATTTTATTGCATTAGTAGATTATGCATGTTAGATTTTATTTATGTTGATTGATGATGCGCTAGAGTTCACTAAATAATCACAACATAAATGAATCTAGGTCCCAATAATATTAAGGTTGCTTTTCCAATTAGATACCCAACAATCCTTTAATCGTGAGTGATGGGTTGGCCTCAGTAGAGCGTCACTTGTTATTTTAGGAAATTTGGGGTAGATCACGTTCTACATATTTAATTGGTTATGCTCAACAAGGTTACCTAAAGAGTTTAGAACCTTAAAGCAAAGGGTAATAATTAAACATGTGATGGTTAATTATTCAACCAAGAGTTACAAGAGTTGTAATCAGTAAAGAGTTTACTCACCTTGAAAATGTAATGCTTGATGGTAGGGCCTCAGTCTGGTCAACTATTACACAAATAAAGGATCTTGGAATCACTTATAATTCAATTGGGATCAATTAATATTGAATAAAGTGCTTTAAAGTTACCTAATTAATTTGTATATGGTACTTTAATGTTAAATTAAACATAATTATTAAACTTTGCCTTATTTTGACATAGATGGGTAGCCGTAACAACGATGACAGTAATTCTTTACCACCAACAATGAAAACAAGGCTTTATTTTCTCAACTTTGACGATTGGGAAAGCGAACTTAGAAGTGTTCTAAGGAATGAAAATGTCGAATTTCATTTAGACTTACCAATCGAGGGAAGATTTAGTCCAGGCATGACTCCTAAGAAGCATTTGAGAAATGTTTCAGATTCTAAGAGAGTTGCGTATGTAATGTTGTCTTCTATTCCAGAGGATTGGGCTAGAAGATTCATGGACTATGAACCTTATCTCTTATTCAAGTGCTTACGTGATGTTTGCAATGGAATACTGAGTTCCCATGTTGATGGGAAAATTGGATGGAAATGTCGAGGAAATCATTAATATGGTTCCCAAGAACGACGACTCCTGGACTGGAAATATTAAGTGTGAAACCTACAAGATCAATGGCGAGATAATTTCGAGAAAACTCTTGCCAGGCGAGTCAGTACAGATTCATGTGGATATGATGGTTAAACTATTTAGCCGCATGAGTATGTTAGGGAGACCATAAAAATATTATCAGGTTCATGATATAATTCTGCATGCTCTACATGATGGTTTTGACCTCGAGAAACTTACTCATGATGATGGGGATTCTGCGGTCAAGCTAATTGATTTACTCAAGAATCATGCAGAGAGTTACCTGAAAGGAGAATAAGCCAGAGCTTTAACAAGGATGTCCTCATTAGAATGAAGTGACAGGTAAGAGTTACCTAATATTCTTGTTATAAACATTTTAACTTTCATTTAGGTAAGTGATACCAAGTTGCAGTGCTTAACATTATGAATGTTGCATAGGAACTGCAAGTAAGTGAAGCTAGCATGGAAATGGAGCTTGACGGTGCACTAGAAGTGTTTGAGTGACTAGAGATAGCTTCATAGTTTTAATTTCAAAATTTTTATGATGATTTTAGACATTTTCTAGTTTTGATGAGACAATTTTCAGTGTTAGT